AGGCAAAGCTGCATGAATTCGGCACAGGACCCAGGTTGGGATCAGCCATATGGGACCAAAGTAGATTTCTCAGCAAAAGCAAGCCAGTTCCATTGCTTCTGAATACATTTGACAATGCTTCTGTTGGAAAAGGGGGGCATTGTCTTAATGTGGGGGGCGGGGTTGAGGGGAAGGCATTCATGCTTGTATCATTGCTTATCCCCTTTATAGTTTAGGCACCCCTCAGCACCCCTCAACCATGTAGCCACTGTGTATGCAGGCAACCCCGATCCTGCGGAAGACTGTAGGGTATGATTCCTATGAAAAGAACGTGCGCTGTTTGCATGATAAACCCTGAACTCCCCTTTCCTTTTTTAAATGTACTTCACTAACACCACCAGCCATGCTGGATGGGGATGGTGGAAGCTGAAGTCCAACCTGCCGACTGGGCTAGGTCTGAAAAGCCTCCCCTAGACCCCCGCTTGCATGCCCAAGTCGCAACCCAGAGACGCAAACGGCATCCCAGAGCGAACGAGACGGAGCTGATACGACGAGAGGGGTTTCCCACTGGGCAGGGAGAGGCTCCAGGCCAGCCTTATCCAGCTGAGTGGGACTGCAGCCCCTGCCACCCCACTCCCGGGGATGATGGATGTGGTATACTAACTGCTCTCTCAGCTGTTGGCCGAGGGAACGCTGCCTTGAGAGAAATACGTGGCCATTCTTAGAGCCTTCGTTCTGCCCGGTGTCTCTGGATTGGGCTGGCTTACCTGGTGCACAAAGGTGAGCCACTTCAGCCTCCTGCCAGCCCCTCACCTACCATGCCATCGTCTCCTTTGCCAGCCCTTTGAAACGTTTCAGGTCGGTCATCTCATGACCCTTGTGGTTGTTCCCTCTTGCCCTGAGCTGACTAGAACGGTGTGGGCAGAAGGTTGACTTCCACATGCTTTTGACTTCAGCTCCCAGCATTGCAGACCCCTGGCCATGCTGTCAAGGGAGGATGGGGACTGAAGTCCAAAGTTATCCACAGACCAAACCTTCTACTCATCCTTGGCCTACAGTCTTTCCCAGGACGTCTAAGGGGGTGACTTCTCTTCACCTCCTTGAATCTTAAGGTGGTGCCTGAGGAACTCCAGCGAACAATGGTTCTGGGACATTAGTTTTCTCCACCAAGGAGTTCATTAGGAAATCCTCCCCACCCCACAATTAATGATAGGAATTTATACACAACAGTTTGCTTGCTGCTACCAACCTTCCCGCATAAGACAAAGAGGATGTGGTGGCAACTCCCAAGGCTGGGCCCATCCAAGATTCTCTTCTATATGGTGGGAAGAGCTCCAGATGTTTGGGACTTCAACTCCCAGAAGCTCCTGCCAATGAGCAAGGCATGCTGGGAGTTGAAGTCCAAAATACCTGGTATCTACTCTCCATGTACCCTTGGGGAGGGCTGCTTCCCCTCAGTAATGGCAGAGGAGTCACTTTCTGGAAAACAAACAGATGTGGAAACCCTCTGATCGGGAAGCCTTAAAATATATATTGCCCTGTTTGGTCAGGGCCTTCTGAGCTCGCATCAGAGGGGAGAAGCATACATTTGGGTGCTTTTGGAAAAAGGAAAATTGCATCTAAATGTGTACTTTGGAAAAAATGGTGAAGCCAGTATTGAAGAGTGAGAATTAGGGAAGCCAATCTGTGAGATGGAAATTTGAGAACTTCCAGTGCTCAAGGTCATGCATTTTCCCATCCTTTGTCTCATTTTGGCAGTTGCGTTAGGGACTGAGGGGACAGAACAAAGGAGCAAAGGCATGCAAAGTAGCTGAGAAGCTGGCAGTGTGACCGTCAAAGCACCAATTATTTTTCTGGTGTTACATTAAGCTCAAGAAGAATCTTGGAGAGGTGGAGGTATACTTGTGTAAGGGCTGCAGTCTTTTCCGGGCAGTGCCATAGCCTTAGCAAAACTCTGTCTGGAAAGCTTTTCAGTTTCACAGAGACCCCCACGGACCCACCAACCCCAGCCATGCCTCACTGTTGCCGCTCCTTTCACTTTCCACTCCTGAAAAACACACAGCCTTGGAGGTCATCTCTGATTCCTCACCTTCTTGTTCTTCTCACTGCTCCTTAGCAAATCCAGCTCCTTGGCATGGACGTCACTTCTTCACCTTCACTTCCGCTAAAGCTTCTGCTCTGCTTGGCTCGATGCTTGCTAGGAATGCCCTATCCCAGCTTTCCTTCTGGCCATACCTATTTTTCTATTCTATATTGTTTTTCTATTCTGCTTGCCTCACTCTCCTCCTTTAAACCAGCTCATTACTTTCTTAGGGTCGCCTTCAAATCCCCTAAAAGGTCTCTGTGTCCCCCTCCGGACAATAGCCCTGCAATCAGTATCTCTCCCACCATCCCTTCCAGCTCTGTCCATCCTAACCTGGCCCATCCGCTCCTTCTGCCTCTCTCTCTTACTCCCACCTCCATGCCATCTTCAATACTTCAAGTGTACCTGATATTTGTGAATCAGCAGCACCAAATGATGGGGATCCTGGTAGCATTCCCTTCTCCAGTTCCCAGTTCCCGAGGTAGTTCAGGAAAACCAGGAGCTTAGCTCTGGAAGGACTGCTGAGGCCAATAGTCTGGACGCAAGGGGACAGGTGGATTGCAGCAAGCCAAGCAAGAGGGTTTCTCCTGACCCCAACTGCTCCACCATTGCTCAATAGGGTGATGGGGTCACAGGCAGCCCCACGGAGAAAATACCGATTCTGAGGAAAGGCTTACCAACGGTGCCATCCGACAGACTGCAAGGCATCACTAGAATGAGGGATAAACTGAGAGTGCATCAGGGAAGAAAGGAAGAGGATCTGGCATTGGCCCTGCCATGGCCTAGTGGAAGATTGTAGCCAAGATCCAGTGTGTGCTTGTGCAATTGTGTACCCAAGGGCTGCAGTTGTGCCATTCGTGGCCCTGGGAGGGCAAATGCGAGTGCCCATCATGACCTGCAGTGCATTCTCCTAGTAGCGTCTCTCAGTCCAGGCAACTGACCTCTTGACCTCTGCTACGTCATCAGCCTCCCTCCCCCCCCCCCACCACCCCATGTCTCATTTCTGTTCACTTTTTAGTTGGGTCCTGCTCTCCTTCGCGCCCTGTGCCTGTCCTTAAGTCGATTTTATCCATGCCATGTTGCAAAGGGTGACTTTGTCAGGACTTTATGTTAGCCGATGTTGTATGTCCAGCTGAGAACCTGGAGTGGGAAGTCGCCACGGCTGAGCAGAGCCACTGGGGCTGGGGGTGATGCAGGGCTTGGTTCTCCAGGCTTCTATGGGAGGCGGAGCCTGGGGGGAAAATGAGTGTGCCTTTTCCAATCCTGCTCTGTCAGTCCAAAGACCTTTCTTACCACCACCCCCTGAACTGGTTGCTAATGTGAGTATGGCCTGCTCCATCTTGCCTCCAAGTACTGTGGGAGAAATACTGCAGAAAGGAAGCGTGAAAGGTGCCGACACAGATAAATGCAATGCCCACTTCCGAATGCTGCAGCGAGAGAAGGCTCAGGTCAAGCAAGATTAGTAGCTGATTTCACTCTTTTGGGGAAGGGGAGCAGATTCTCTAGAGGACAGCAATGAGGCACAGTGTGAACTGGCCCTGCTTCATCCGAAAGGCGTACATGACACACAGGGTTGGGTGCGAGTCCCCATGCAGGACCGGAGGTAGCATTTTCCCAGTGCATTCCACTCCACAGACTCCGTAGGTTTCAAAAGCACCTTGTCCCAAAAGGATATGAGAAAAGCCCTGCTGGGTCAGATCAGAGGGCAGCCCAGTCAAGCACTCGCTCCACACAGTGGCAAACCAGCTGCCCGCAGGGGCCCTGCACCTGCCCAGCTCCTCAGCAACTGGTGCAGGCAGGCAGGCAACCTCTGGTGAAGGAGGGAGCCCGTGGCCAGCAAGGCTAGCAGCCCTGATAGCCTCCTCCCTCACACGTCGCTGCCGTCCCCTTTTAAACCCACCCATCCTGACCGCCGATCCCAGTTTCTGTGATGGCAAATTCCACTGGTCGTGCAAACGGACTGTTCGCCCTTTCAGTTAGACACGGAATGAGGTCTGCTTCATCAGGTGAGCATCAGATCCAATAAAGGGAAGTGCATGTCAGTAAACACAGTTTATCTATCAGTCTCCGTAGGAAAAGATCCAAGCAGTTTGATTTCATGGAATATCTAGGGCACTGTTAGTGCTTCGCAAAATTGGCAAGCCTGAATTTTGAGCACCTAGGATACATTTTTTTTCAACGACACAAAATGGATTATAACTTGATGGACTGGGCGGAGGGGGCAGGTATCACACTGCATTCAGCTGTCCTCTTCTGTGTCAGAAATGTGAAGCTCAACATTGGTCCTGGGGAATCTCGCAGAATTTGTTCTAGTTTGTGGCCTGAGCTCCTCACTGGCTTTACAATACAAGGAGACTTCATGCAGCAGTGAGAGTGATTATCAGCAAGGCATTGCACTTATCTTAGAGTTAAAAGCCCACGACAGGGCTCTTACTCCAGGATTTAATTAATTTGAGGCATATTAGGTTCAACAAAGAGCAGGTTTTCTGCTTTCAGGAGTCTCATATGATCCAGAAATAGCAAAGAGCAAGAACGGCAAAAGCAAACAGGTAATTCTTTGGAAGCTCAAAGGAGATCTATGCAGAATCTTAAAGCTTCAATGCTTTTGCAAGCAAATCACCCACGCTCTGTTTTATTTCTTCTTTGCTTTGCTTCATGTCTCTGCTGCAAGGACACTTCCCCCTCGCCTCTCTCCTAGCCCATAGAGGTGTGGAGCAGAATGAATCCAGTATAATAGTGCAACCAGTTCATTTTTCCACTGTATAATCTGATATCACTGGTAGCTTGGAATGATGCGGGAAAGTTCTGCCTGGACCACAAAGCCCTGTAATCCTTTGGGATCAGGAGACTGGTGGGATTCGTTCCCTTGAGTGGCCACAGCATCGTGGCCGGGCTTGCAAAGGAGGTCACCGGTGCCCCCTCCTCTTCCCTGTCACAGGGCGTCCCTTTGGAGCTCTTGCGTGGTCCTGCCCCTTCTCGCTTTGACCTGGATGTCGGCGGTGCTAGCGATCACAGACCGCCGGTCGGCCCTCTTCCAGATCCTCTTCGCGGTCTTTGACTCCTTGGAGGGCTTCGTCATCGTGATGGTCCACTGCATCCTCCGAAGAGAGGTGGGCATCCATCAAGCATGGGTACCTTAAGGATGGGAGGGCGATGTGCGCCATACATATGTTAGCCTAAACTTATCAAAAGTCACACATTTAGGCCACAAGGTGAACGGAAACTGCACTGTTACTCGTAATTCACGTGTGTCCAAATTTTGCAATCCTGTTCTCCGGCCCAAAAGAACACACAAGGATGAATCTAGCTGGAGAAATAATGTCAAAGTATAGAATTGAATTGAAATTGCCTAAGCATTTTTTTTCATCCTCCGAGTTCATCATGAACTCTACTTAAGGTTAGAAAACAAGACAATAAAACAAAACAAAATTCTCATTGCCAAAAATTATCCCCAAAATCAAATTATTTATTATGATTTCGTTTGCATTTGGATTCAGTTCTCTTTTGTAAATCAAAGCAAAATATAGAAATCACCCGATTCCACAGGTAGACTCATGAATCACAATCGGCAGGAAAGTTCTGCTTTTTGACAAAATCATGAATGAGAAGCAGGAACAAGGAAATTATTGAATGTTACATTCACAAGTGGGATTGATTTTACTGTTTCCAGTTTTTTCTAATTCCGCAATTTGTATTTGAATTTTATGCACTAAGTTAAACCTTTTTTTAGTTCTATTCTCACCTGCAGTTCTGTATGTGGTTCAGTTTAAGGTTCAAAAATTTGACTTCTTCATTTTCAGATGTGATATTATTTTTGTAGGGGGTACGGACAGAAATCAAATGTTTTCTAGGGATGCAGGTCGTAGAAAAGGTTGGGAACCTCCATTTTAATTGTTCTTTGGTTTTACAAGGTAAACCACTCTGATCATATGTGCTGCTTTTGTTGCTGAAAGGGAATGTAAAAATATTCCAGAATGAATCCATAAAAGATTATGCCTGGGACCCAGGATTAGTTATGCCTGCTGAAGGCAGTGGCACTCGGTGATCTCATGACATGACACCAGCAAGTCATGACATCATTCATGACATCACCAGCGTGTCTGATTTGTTTGTTTACTTATTGAATTAATATGCCACTACAATAAACCATATCCAGCTTTCAGTGGGCCTCCTCTAACTCTGGACAGAGTCTATGCCTTTAATGGCACTGGTCTCCATGCTTTCCACGGACACATTTTCTTGATGGGTTGAACTGAAGAGTGGTTACTATTTTCCAGGAAGATTCCTTGATGGCAGGAAGTCAGCGCAGATGTTTGTTTACAAAGACGGGGAGTGGGGGACTGATTAGGATTATCTATTTATTTAATCAATTTTATTTAAAGCATTTATATGCCATTTAATGCTGAAGGTCTCAAGTTTTTTCTAGTTCTATTCCCTTAAGATTCGTGATGACCCATTTCTGGACTCCATTGCTGGACTCCCACCTTGTTTGAACTAGTTCGTTAACCTTCTATTCTCATGTTTTATTCCAGTTGAGACTTTTGTCTGATTCTGTTGCATGCAACATCCTCTTCTAGGTGCAGGATGCTGTGAAGTGTCGAGTGGTGGACCGCCAAGAAGAAGGAAACGGCGATTCTGGGGGGTCATTTCAGAATGGACATGCTCAACTAATGGTAGGATAAAGTGCCTCTCACTCCACTTTTAACCCACAGGAAAGATGCAATTCTTCTGAACCAAAGGCATTGCCAGCTAGAAGTCCTGTGGGTCCTGGGGGGACCTCTCACATCAACATACGAGTCCCACACAGAGAGAAACATGGCACCCTGCCGTGGTCCCTGATTCTGCAGTCCCACTGATGTCCCCTGTGGAGCACTCTGCTGTGGAAGGGGTTCAGACATCTTCACTCCAAGGAGAGCCTCTGGTTTCTTCTTGCATGCCCTCAAGTTCCTAGCATCTCCTGCATCTTCTGGCGCGCTCAGAAGACAATGGATTCAGAATCAGGGTTGGGTCCAATAAGCACGCACAGCTGGCTCATTCAGGAAATGGCACCTCAAGAAGACTAGGCCCCCCTGAACTTATAAGACCCCACCTATCTTAGCTGCTTCTTAGCTCACCATAGTTTGGCCAGCACGGCCCATGGGCAGCAGCTTTTTTGGGTCCTGATTTCCACCTGCAATGACTCTCCCTGAGCGGAATCCAGCGAGGTGCTGGCATGTACCCAGATCCCATTTTGCCCCACTGCTGTCCTTCTGCAAGCCATGGGTCCCACCAGTATGGGCATGTCAGTGGGACCCACACTGATGCAAGCCCCCAGAGGAGCCCAAACAAGTTCCCCCAGCCTTCCTTTTTCCAGAAATGGGAATCTCCCCTGCTGTTCTGCAAGCTGTGGGGGCGATTTGTGCCACAGAACTGGCAGGGCAGAAGGGACTCAGTGAGAGCAGAGGCGCTCTTGCCCTTCCTGAATTTGCCTGGCTTGGCCGGGCCTTAGCAGCCTCACCAATGCGTGGTCCCCAACGCTCCCATCTAGAGGCTCACCCCGTGCCACGTTCAGTTCCACACACCCATCACTCTGTATTCACAGTCCTGGCCAAGCCTTTGCACCCCAAGTTTTCCTCCTGGTGGGGTCAGAGGGTGCTGGGGCATAAAACAGGGCTGTGCAAGCCCCCGAAGGTTCCTTGCAAGAGGAAACAGGCAGGGCTATCAATGCCACTCCGACACAAAAATGACGGTGATGATGGTTCTGCTCTGTTCCCCTCAGGGTTGCCACCAGGAAAGTAATTAATTTACCTTAATTAAGCTTAATTATCAGTAGGCTGCCCCACACAGGAAATTTGAAGCTAGAGAGTCGCTTTTTGTAGGCATGCGTTTTCTAGTATCAGAGCATCTCACTGGCCTGATAAGAACATTTGTCTGGCCATCCCGGTTTTAGATGTAGGAATGCCAAAGAAACCTGCAAGTGAGTCAGCTGAGTCCAGATTAATTGGAGTTCTGTCCTGCAAAGGCTACAGTGGCCTGGCATTCTCAGGTTTATTTATTTTATATGTTTATGTAATTCATTTTACACCACCCAAAAGCCATGGTATGGAACCCACTGGGATTAAAGGCTGACTGTTTTATCTTGTGTGTTTTCCCATGTATTTAGCCTCATTCTAATCACAATTCCAAGATCACTGCAGAGGTCCTACCCATGGTTGGATGATTTGTTCACTTTTAGGAGTGTGGATATGTACAAATGCAAGTGAATTCATTTGTATGGATTCCAAGTCCACAACTCAGAGGATGGTGAAGAGAATATTGCCTGAAAATCTGAAAATTGCCAAGAAAAAGCTTCCCCTCCATTTATGCATTTCTAGTTAGATAAGAAGAACTGAGATCATGAGTTATGAAGCAATTTCCTAAAGGCCTGATGAGAACGTTTTTGTTCTCGTCTTCCTCATGTTTATATTCTGAAAAGGCGACGCAGAAATGCTTTCCATAAAGAAACGGTTGTGTGAGAGAGTGTGTCGAAAGTGTGCCTTTATTTCCACATTCTTCTTTTCTGCCAAAGTCATTCTGAATATCCACAAAACCTGTGGAGTGTCCAGAGAAATCATGTATATATGGAATTATCCATATATATATATGAATATATGAATTATCCATATAATCCATATATATAGGGAATTATCAGAGTGAACTGGTTAGACATTGCTTTTCTAATCTACTGTGTTCAGTGGGAAAGGTATTTCCATTTCCATTCCATCCATGCATGTCCTATAATGTTTCCGGATATCACAACTAGCTCGCACAAGCATTTGCAGCTCTTTTCCTCTGACCAAGATATGGAGGAATACGCACTTGCCTCTGCGCTTTCCACCCCGCTACCCACACAGAAAGTAACTGAGACATAAGCAAAGTTCAGCACATTTCTCCCAGTCAGTGAGAAATTGAACCAGCTGCATTACAATAGCATTTTGTGCTGTCCAACAGCTCGTCTTCTGAGCAGGCTGTGATTTATGCATAACGGTTTCAGCTCTTGTTTGCTTGCGAGTTCTGCTGTGCTGGAAATGTTGGATCTGTGTTCCCCGGCACAATCCATCCCCCACTGCTCCCCTCTGCCCCACTGACCAGCCCACCCCCCTCTGTTTTCTCTGTCTTTCAGACGGATTTTGAGAAGGACGTGGATATGGCGTGTAGATCAGGTGAGCACATTACAGGTGAGACATCAACAAGTGACCTGGTTTGGGGATTGCACTTGGCCTTTATTTCTTACGATCTCTGTTTGTGTCAAGTCATGTGCTGTCGCTTGTGTGTCTGAGCTGCTCCTTCTCCCCTGCTCTATTAAGAGTGTCCGAGGACGCTCCCCCTTTGCTCTCCCCTGTTCCCTTCGATGCACCCAGGACAGAACTGAAGCCAGGCAGAACCTCACCCTGGGAGACACTTTCGAAGCAATTTAGCAAGAGGCAGAGAAGCTGGCATTAGGGGCACGGGAGCGTGCCACCCCTTTTGTGAATCGGGCTAACATGTTCCGTGTTTAAGCCAGACACAAACACAAGCGGAACTCAACAAATAAAGACACGGATAAGAAGTGCACACCTGTGCAGGTGGAAAACCACACTGGGGCAGATGTGCATGGTCAAAAGGCAGATCCTCACCCAAACTGCATTTTCATGCTTTAGCCTGTGAAGAAAGTGCATATTTGGGGTACATACCTGGAAAAGCATATGTTCCTCATGTTCAGTGGTGCTCTCTGGGGGGCGGAATGAGGCTCGTGTGCAGAAGTGAGGAGGACCAAAGTGGGACATGGAGAACCTTCATGAGTTTGACCACACCTCATTTTCCCATCCTTAGTTGGCCCAAATTGGAGATGATTGTGGCCACCGTATTAACGTATGTGCCTGTCCGGTAGCCAGACAAGCTGGGCTGGCTGCTTCACATCCTGTTTGGCCCTCCACAGGTTGTCTCTCTCTTCCTTGTTCCCTTCTCAACTCACCAAGTCTTTGGTCAGGGATCCGCAGAGTCCTCTCCACTGGAGTGGCAGGGTCACTTGGACCCAAGCACACATTCCCACAACCATTTGGTAAATGTGACATCCGACTTCTATTTCAGTCCTAATTTGCATCATGAATGGATGATCTTGTGATGATCTGTTTCATTGCCCCACCTGCGAATCCAGGCATGTTCCGGAAGACCATTCAGAGAGTAAAGTGAAACAGAGGGTTGTGACTTTTCCTCTTGCTGGCTCACATTGACCAACCATGTAAGAACCAGATGTTTAAGTTAGCACATTCAGGGTCTTCAGCTCCTCTTGCATCCCTTCCTCTGGACCTTGCCTCCATTTTGCAAGGTGGCAGACAAGCTGAATCCTCCAACCCTCCCCTGACTTGCCTGCTTCCCTCTTGTTCCTTCCAAGTCTCATGCCCATGACACATCACCCCAGGTCAGTAGATTTGCATGGGCCACCCACCCCTCTGTTTGCTTCATCAGATCCATCGTGGTGCCTGTCGACCACGATACTTCTGTCCACCCCCGTGTACCACCTATCCCTTCCTGAACTGAACTGCTCTCCTGCATCCCTACCCTGCCTGAAGAAAAACTGTGGCTCTTCGGGATTTCATGGAGATTTTTCAGAATTCCCTAAAATTCTTCTTCCTGTTTCCAAGCAAGAACGCCCCTGGCTCACTCCAACCCCATATAGTATCCCAATCTTTCAAACCAGGATCTCTTTTAAGAATGATGATGAGTGATGTATGCTGTTTTGTAAAGTCCTTGTCTTTTTCTTCCTAGATTTCTTCTTTGTTTTTCTTCATTTTGAGCTGTCTGTTTTTATCTCACTCATCCTTGCGGGGGCATTATCTGGGTTGCAGCCTCCAGGAAGTGGAAGCAAAACCTTGTTTTCCAAGAGATGCATACTTACTTGTCCAAGAGGCAGTAGAACCATCCTCATTTTGGCTTACATGTTTACTTACTTACTACATCCCTGAATTTTTGTTCAGCTCAACCATGAAAAGTTTTGTGTGAACTTGTTCTTACTCTTTCTTTTGCCTTCATCTCTGTTTTCCATTTGTCCACTAGTCTTTTTTTTATTATTGGTTGCTTGTCCAGATGGCAGCTTCCCCAACGGGCAGTGCAACATGTATTTAGGAGTGCAAGAGATGGTCCAGTCAAAATGTCAGCACCTTCCCATGACTGCCCCTTTTTGTCACCAATGCTGAATGGTTCCCACATTCAGTGTGAACTGTGCAACACCCTCCAGCTGGTGTCAGCCATGTGGTTTGGCAGCAGTTTGACAGGCTGAAGGATGGAGGGGACTGAGAAGAGTGTATCAGTCACAGAGGATGAGAAATTACTTCCAATTTACTCATGAGCAGAACTGACTCAGTTAACACTTTCCAGAACTGAACACAGATGTAACCCATAGTCAGTTTCTGAGCTTACAACTTGTGGAACAAATACAAAACAAAACTGTGTATATTTGAAAACTGTGCATGTAAAACCCATACTTCTGAAAAATGTGTGTTAAGTCATGAGAGAAAAAGGCGTATGTTTAAAAGCTATGCACAGTTGGTGAATTTGCATGATTTGGAGAACGTGCATGGAAATCGCTTTGCTTTTTTCCTCCCCCTTTTAATGTGAAACCAACAAACAAAACCTCAATCTGATAATGATACCAGTCAGATTAAGTTTCACAGCAGAATTGGAAATGCTTGAGAAGCTCGGTGTTTTGCAAATTTGCATTTCCCTAATCAGCAGCTCAGATGTGGGCATTTGCCTCATCCAAAGGCAATCAAAAAACCTCTTCTCACCACCCCAGATTTCCCATGTCACACCTGCATCTAGCCAGCTTGCATCACAATGGAAGCAGGAGCATTGCTGGTGAGAAGCCTCAGAGCCCTCCTAGATGAACTAGCCTGGCCAAAAACAATCCTCTTGCATCGGTACTCCTTCAGTGGGGCCATTTGCTATGCTCCAGCTCCATGATTTTGAGAGGGACCGTGAGCGGTCATGGACTCCACTAGTGCTGAAATGCCCTTCGGCAGACCACTTCCTTTTCTGTCCCCGCATGACCCTCGCATCACCGTCTGCTGTTGTTTTCCCTCCTCACCCTCCTCATCTTCTTCTCCCCACTTTCTCTCCCCCTGCTGACAATCTCATTTGACACCAAAACTGGTCCAAAATGACCCAGAAAAGATTTTGCAAGAAAAAGGCAGAGGGTTTCCTTTTCCTTTCCCTCCCCCAAAAGGCAAAGGCCATTTGCAGGATTCTCCCCCAAATCTTTGCATCCATTTTTGACTGGGATGTCTCCACTCCTAGTGCCCTAGGATGCCACCAGGCCTGGGACACTGCCGGATACACATGTGAGACTGTTAATTGCACTCACATTAGCACGTTGGAGACATCTCTTCCTGGAGAATGTTGATGAAAGAGTCCCTCCAAATTCTTTGCCCACAAACAGTGGAACAGATTTTTAAAGACCACAGATGCACAGTTCTTTTCTGGTGTCTGACTGACACCAGGATCCTGCCTTTAACAAAATGAAAGGCACCCCTAAAAGAGGTATTGGAGGAAGCATGTCCTAACAATCCCGGGGGAACCAGCTGCCTGGAGAGGCGGTGGGCTCTCCCACACTAGAAGCATTCAAGGTGAAATGGACAGCCCTCTGAGTGGGATGGTGTAATGTGCTGTCCTGCACCAGCAGGGGGTTGGACCTGAGGGCCTTCATGGCCCCTCCAAACCCTACTCTTCTATGGTTCCTCAAGTAACTTTTCTTTCATACTTGGAGAGCATCTCTATTTTCCTTCTGAGTACTGTACAGATAGGGAGCGATCAGGCAGTCCCTTCCTCCAGGCTGCATCTTCTGGGAAGAGCAACATTGATGCTCGAGGGAATCACACAGTGGAGCAGCTGCTCCTTCACTGGCCAAAGGATGGGGCCAGGTTGGTCTGTCTCTTGGCATCTCGGTCCTCCTGGGAGGCCAGGGAAAGCAGCCTCCCTTGATCTCCTGGCCGGTACAGGAGCCCAGAGGGTGTCTGCCGTCATCTCTGCACTCCCAAGTCACTAGCAGATGGAGCAGACTGTTCCTTCGAGGCAGGGAGGCGGCAAGCCCTCGGCAGCTGCTCCTCTTCTGGCCCCCAGATGGAGCCGTGTTGGACTCCTCCTTGCTCTGACGTTCATTATGAGCCGCAGAGGGTGCAGCCTGGCGAAGGCCACGCTCCTAAACATATTTACTAGAGAGGAAGCCTCACTGAACTCAGTGGGACGTGATGCTAATGCAACATGCTTAGCATTGCACCGTAGCATTGCAGCCCTCCACACATTAAGCAAAATGGGACTTACTTGTGAGTAAACAGGCTTAGTATTGGGCGGCATGATTGTTCCCCTAAACACACACACACATACACAGTGAAAATCGTATTGCAATCAAATAATCCTGGGGATTCTAGTTGAATAAATATGCAAATAATTTGTATGGGGGGTAATCTTTAATGAGCGGGGGGAGATCTCAACCAGGTTTGGCCACAGAATGGTTTCAAAAATGGCCTTTCCAAAATTTGGTCTTTAGAGTACCAGGAAGAATTGAGCCACTTTCAAAATTCCTTTAGATTCTGTTTTAAATCATCAGTGGATACCGTAGTTTGGGTAGTTTGTTTTCATATATTTGTTTACTACAGGGGTTTGCGACGCATGTCCTCAGGGCCTCATGCAACCGTGCCCCCCAGGGCAGCCCCAAGGCAGCCCCTCGTCACCCCACACTGCAAAACCTGCAGCGGCAAAACCGGGCATTTTCCCTAATCAGGTGGCACCTTTTCTCAGCTTACCCATCTGTGGCCACTGACCACTGAATTTCGGTGGCAAACCACCCTTTTTTGCCACTGCTCTGCCACAGAATTCTGCGGGGAGGAGGTGTCAGGACTGCAGCCCATGGAGGGGCCCAGCTTGGTGAAAGCGGCCCCCAGACTTTCCCATGGTCCAGCATCTCCCCAGGACCAAGCACCTTCTGCACTGGTCATGCACAACAGAAATCAGTCACAGCAACTCTCATGCATCAGGGTTGCCCTGACCTCAATAGAACAAAGCAACTAGCAGGGTGGGGATTCCCTTGCACTGATCCAGTTTGGGCAGCAAGTTCAGGAACGAGAGGGGGTTACTTGAGGGATGTCCTTTGCGTCTGAACACACTGGCTGCACATGGGGTTTGATTCCCAGTGAGTGCCCCTTGGCAGAGCCCTCCTGAGCCTGGGAGCCGAGCCCAGAGAAGCGGGTTCCTCATCCATCCCTGGGGCCTCCTTGAGCAGGACTCGCAGCCAAAGCAGCATCTTCTGTTCACTTTAATTTTTATTGTATTTACTATTGTATTTATATGCTGCCAGGTAGTCCAAAAGGCCTCGCTAGGGGGCATGCACCAATCAAAATCAAGCAAGGATTCAACATTCTCAACCATTTCAGAATACTAAAGGCAATAAAAGCACTTCCAAAATTTATAAAAATATAAATGGCAATAAGAATGATTTAACAATGATCATTCAAAATCATATCCAGGTGTGGAGGACAACGATTAATAAAATTTACAAGATCCCTCAAAACTAAAAAATTACTAAAATGGGTGGAGAAGAGAAATGTTTTCTCCTGGTGCCGGAAGGAGAGCAGAGTTGGCACCAGGCGAGCTTCTCTGGGGAGCCTGTTGGGTGCAGCCACCGAGAAGGCCCTGTTTCTATTTGCCATCCCTCTCATCTCTCTGAAGGATGGCTCTATCAGAAGGGCTAGGGTGAGGGTTAGGCCTCTTACCCAGATCTTAATGGTTGGGTAGGTATATACAGGAGCCAGCCAGAAGGAGAAGCACACTGCAAAGCTACCTGGCGCAAAACCAGCATGCAAGCAAAGACCAGGTAACCCTGCCTATACTGCCGGCCACAGAGCATCTTTTCACCATGATGTTTCTACAGGGTCATAGTTAAGCTATATGTGCCTCATCTGGTAGGCTGGAATGACAGCCTTTGTCAAATTTAAACTGGATAGATAGATGGCTAGATAGATAGGTAGACAGACAGACAGACAGACAGACAGATACATATAGGGTACAAAAATGTGGAATACAAAAAGCACAGATGGAGCAGGAACGAGTGTGACTTAGTTTCTGCAAACCTGCAGGAATCAGTTGAAGAAGCTGATTTGACAAATTCAGGTCTCCCACTAGTGTTGCCTTCAGGTTTTCCTCTGGAACTGAAGCCCACTCAAAACGTCCTTAATCAGAAATTATTCTAGTGGAAGAAAAATGTTGCTCTTGAACCCTTCAGAAGTCAGAGGAGATTCTCGACTCTGGAAATCCTCTTGTGAGCCACAGTCGCTTAATTTTGTTAAAGAGCAGGAAGTGTCAAGCTTGCTGTACCCCCATGAGAGCAACACCTGCCCAATTGTCTAAAAATGGATGACATTGCCAAAATGGAAGCAATGGGTTGGCTGACCTCCATCTGCTTCCCCCAGTTATCTTAAAAACACAGAATCAAGGGAATTTGGCCCAGCCATGCAAGATTCAGAAAAGATGGGAGAAGCAGAAATCTTTCATTTTAGTCTCCATCACAAGTTCCTCACTCAGTTACATGGGAAGCTTTTCAAAACATGCTTTTTCTTCCACTAAGTGGCTTTCATGAAGAAGCCAAGTGAAGCCAAACAAAACAAAACAGAACAAAACACTAAAGGAAATACAGCAGTTCAAAATAGCAAAAAACGTTCATAGTTCAATCCATGTCACAAGAAGAAGGAAGTTATTATCTATTCAAAAGCCGGTCAGGTAAAAGTAACTTCAACCTGTTGTAAACTGCTTTGGGGCAGTAGAAGTGAAGTAACAGCAGCAGCAGCTGAACCCCAGAATCCACATGAACCAAAGGCAAATAGAAATTGAAATCTGTTCAGGGCCCATTTTAAAAAAGAACAGGGAGTGAGTGCAATCCCACCCTCATGAATGGAGTTCCCAAGTAAGGGGCCATTCTGAGAAGACTCCCACACTTGTCCCCATAGAAGAACGGCTCATGGGCCGTTCTTTCCCCTTCTCTGAGGGTTACCTGTCTTTACCTGAGACTATGGCAACGGACTCAACTTTTCCCCCTTGGAGCTCAGAGTTAGCTGCACAAACGTTGGTTTCCTTGCAAATGTGCTTGTGCGCGTGTGTGTGTGTGAGAGAGAGAGATCTATGTTCAGTACTTCTGTCAGAAAAAATATATTTATTCTTGTTGTGTGTGTGTGTTTGTATTAACACTGAAGCTATTTTTTTGCCCCTCAAAGCATCCTGAGAGTGTCCGCTTTAGCTATCCGAGCGCTCAAACAGTGACAGCTAACCAAAGGTTACGTGGGGCAGAGGGAGGAAGCATGCATTGCACAGAGACTTGGACCTGGTCCATTGTCCGAAGTTGTGTCACCACACAAAAATAATTTCCTTTGGGACTTGGAGTCCAAACAGACCCCCCCCCCCCCCGGCGCCACCTGGACGCATCTTCGTTCCCTTCGCTGACAAATGGCATGGCTCCCCGATTTTGCAAAAGTGCTCCTGACACTTTCAGGAATCGGGAGCTGAGGGCAAACCTTATTCATGAAGTGGAAGACCAAAGGGGAAGAGGCTGTTCAGGGACTCAAGCTGGACTGAAATCTCTTCGGTCCATGTTTGCTCAAGCGTCTATGAATCCCCCATTCAGCCCCAGGGAGCGGAGATGGTGGGAATCCCAACTTAGACAATCTGTCAAGCTAAGGCTGATTTGTGGGAAAAGGGGATGCCAGGATTAGCCAGCCAGAATTTTGTGCATTTAATCATCTGCCAGGAATGGAAGACAGAAGCCAGAGTAAAAAATAAATAGATCATCATTTCAAATGCTCGAGCAACTGTCAGATGAGGCATGTACCATTATATAAAGATCACTAGGAGGTTGTGGGACTGATCTGCTTATTGTGGTGCTGTTTTCCATTGCCGTACACCACAGGGGCAGTTTTGGCCTTCCAGAGGTGGTTGAACTTCCCGTCCCATCAGTCTCAGCCACAATAGATAATGGTCAGAATCGAGAGTAGCTGTAGTAGAAGAGTGAAATGTTCCCATCCCTGGAACTCCCTGGAATGATTCCAAGATTCGTGGAATTCCTCAACAGAGTCTGTAAACGCCTTTAAATATTTATTTTAAAGACACTGTTCCTTATCTTTTCTTTCCTTGCACATCCCGCCCCTGATTTTCACAACGTTCAGAACTAGAGCCACATTACCTTCTTTGGATATCCACCTCACCTTTTGGGTGCACCTATTTTGAAAGTCTCTTCGGCATCAAGTCCCACATTGCTTCATCTCCACAGTCAGGGGAACCTTGTTCGCCAGTTTCATGGCAACCTTTTGCAGCAGAAGTGGTGGGAAAAGATGCAGCATAAATTAGGAGCAAAAGTGATGGCTTTCCATCCCTCTCCAACACAAATCCGGATATGCCCCTTCTCATCAGAAATGGTGCTAACACAAGGTTTCCCCCTTTCCAGTGTTCCAGGGGTGTGGAAAGGCTCGGGGGAAAGCTTGCCATTTTCACCCGAGTCTTGTAGCCACGGCAAGCAAATGGCAAAGTCTGTTCAAACTGTCCTATCTATTTTCCCCCCATCTGAATGACATGGGTAAGAGTTTGTTTATGCCGATCAAAATTAAAGTCTTTAAATCAGACACTGGTCAAACCCAAAGAAGCCCCATCATTGGATCAGAAACCAGCTCTGCTCTATTACAACTACACTGTTGGAGAACAGTTAAATTATTTTATTTCTGCATTTGAATTTGCAATCACACCTGGGTGGCTTGAGAATATGAGTTTGTTTGGAATGTATGTACTACTCCAGGTAAATTAAAACTAGATCATTCGTACCTCCTATTCATGGGAGGTTTGATTTGACCTTGCTGTGCAGCAGTGACGACTAATTTCAGAAGATGCAGGAGATGCATGTTTCACACGGGGTAAGATCACAATGAAGCCGTAACACCATTAGGAGTCTCTGGTCTAAGTGCAGAAAGGACGTTTTGTCCCGGCAGGGTGGCTTCCGTGAGTCTTCTCTGTTGTGTAGGAATAGGCTTTTGGTTGCAAGTGCTGACAATATGCCTCTCCCCCCCGATTTGCTAGTGCTAAATAAAGACATCAGCACTTGCCGGACCATGACCATCACAGGAACCTTGAAGCGCCCATCACTGCAGGATGAGGAGAAGCTGAAGCTGAACCACCAAAAGGGTCCGTTGAACTTTAACAGTCTTCCAGCCAATGTCTCCAAGATGCACCTCCAGGGCTCCCCCCATTACCTGGGGGCCATCAACCTCAATGACTTCAGCAACCACACCCTCACTCTGAAGAAGGACAAGAGTCAGCCTCCCAAGTCCATCTACATCTGCGACGGGGATATTTTCAAAAAGCTGGACTCGGAGCTCTCCCGGGCACAGGACCAAGCCATAGATTCCAGCTATGTCATCCTGCCCACCAACACCTCCACCCTACGGCCCAAGCCACCACCTCCACCGCCACCACCCAAGGATGAGACAAAATACAGCATCAACATTGACCAGATGCCTCAGACGAGGCTCATCCACCTCAGCATGGCCACTGACCCGGGCTTTGTGGTCAAGAGCCCCCCAAGAGAGCCCGTGCTGATGAGCTGCGGGGAGGTTCAGGCTCCCCCACTGGTGCAGCAGCAGCAGCAACAGCAGCTGTCGCCCCCAACGGTCAACAAATCCGGCGATTCACACATGCCCAACAGCTTGTGTGAGCCAGGGGAATCGGGCAACTCTGGGTTGGTGTCCAAGAGTGAGACGGTCTCCACTCTTTCCATGAGCTCGCTTGAGGTAAGTGGCAGGCACAGCTCGATGGCAGTGAGCAAAACTGGAGACGGAACCTGTCAGGTTCTAGTTCCAGGGAACAAGGAGCTCAGCTACCTTGGCTTTCTAGGACTTTGCAGGGAGCTGAGAGCCAGAACACCGGGCCGGGTGGACCAGTGATCTGACTCAAGAGGAGGCACGTCCATGTGGCCATTTAAAAGGGAAGTGGGCGACTCCTGTACCGGGAGGCTCTCCATCCATCGCAGCTTTGTTGGAGCTCTCCATGGTGCTGAAGTCCACCCCACGATGGGTTCACCACCATGGAGTACTATAGACAGTTCCTATAAAGCTCAAAAGAAAAGCTGCCAAGCACAAAGCATTTCATTGGCTCAGGAATTGCCAGTCTCACTTGTCTAAGGAAACTCAAGGGCCTTTTCTGCCAGATGTGGTAGCTTTTCCAAACTAAGACCCTTTCCCAGTGCTTAATGCCATGCATTATTTCTATCGTTTTCTTCCTATTGATATCAATACTTCTATGCCACACCATTGCCAAAGCTCTCTGGGCAGTTCAGAAAAAGTCATTGAGCCTTTTCAGGATACTTCTTACAAGCATTTTCTACATAGGCGCAGAATGTCCTCTCTGAGCCTTACAAAAGTGCTCTTGACAGCACGTCTCCCCAGTGACAGTCCCAACACCATACCCACTTTGTCACACCGACTTTCTGATGCGTGATTTATGATGCCCAAAGTCGGTGATGGGACTTATGCACTGATTCATGCATGACTGTTTGGCCATTTGGGGTTAAAACAGCCCTCCAAGGAGAGGCGTGATCGAAACTGGCGAGTCACTATAGGATGGCAGCTGGCATCAGATAACGCTCTCAGAATGATAGTAGGAACTGGGGTATTTCAGGATGGCTCATGCTTTGACTGTTGAAATCAATCAATCAATCACCCAGTCCCAGGGCCGTCTTAACAGCATGATGGGCCCTGGGCAAAGCAGTGTACTGGGGCCCCTACGACAACTACAACTACTGTTAATTTTGGAAGTTTTCCCATTTTCCAAGGGTTAACATACACAGATGAGTATGGGGCCCATGGGCAAGTGCCCATCAGGCCCATGCGTTCAGACGGCCCTGCCCAGTCCTGTGTACCACTGGCTCCTGCTGCATAAAAAAGGAACTCAGATGCTCAGACCAATGGCCTACCTGGTTCTGCATCCTGTTCACACGTAACAGAAGCCCATGGTTGGGACATGAGTGAAAGGCGTCTTCCCAGCCAGGTGCCCCTGAAAGGCTCTACATGGGCATGTTGCCCCTGAGACCAGCATTTGCACCTGGGCCGGTAGCTATTGATAGCCTTATCCTTCATGAATCCATGCAAGTGATTTTCAGCACCATCCAGGTCGGTCTTCTTCACAATGTTGCGTAGCAATGAACTGGTGAGCTGTGCAAAGCTTCCCATTAATTAAATAAGGGGAGGCAGGACTGTGCTGGTGTTTGAAAGCCCACTGGTTGGCTACAGAGAACAGAACCTGGACTCCGTATTTTGAAAGGAGTTCTGGGGGTCGGGCCCTTGATGGCTTTATGGAAGCGTCCCAGTTAGATATTAGTGGCCTGAATTGTCATGGAGGCCAGCTTCAGGCCATTGGCCCAGGTAGTCTGGCATTGTCCACATTGTCTCCCAATGGTGCTTCTCCAATTCTGCAGCAAATGACTTTCCTGCCCTCCCTAGAGAAGCCAGGACTCAGATCTGGGGTGTTCTGCTTGCAGAACTTGTGCTCTACCACTGAGCGTGTGCAGCAGTTGCAACTTCGCCCTCAAAGACGCGTCAATCTGTCTCAACACCTCACTGATGATAGGAGTTTAAAGAGGGAGGAAGGGTGGAGAAAGGCCTTCACCTCAGGGCAAGAGCGCACGAACATAAAGAAATGCAAGCGTGAACACAGGATGGGGAGCTCACATTTTAATGCACCTTTCCCCACATGACCCAATGCACAGTGAAAATGCGGTATATTTGGAAAGTACTTTGCAGGAAGGGTGCATCCTATGAATTCTCCGCACAAGATGTTTATACATTTCCATCAAAGACTGGAGAGCATCTCAGATTTGGGGATGAACTGAATGGTGGGCTGGAAAATCTCTGAAAATTTGGAACAGAACTAATTTAAGTCGCAAAACTGAAACCACTGCATAGGGTATGATGACCTTTCTTTCTTTCATTTCTTTCTTTCACTTTTATTTCCCAGAGACGGAAATCCCGGTATGCAGAACTAGATTTTGAGGTGGGTACTGTGTGCTTCTTTCTTTTTCATTTCCACTATGAAGATGGTTGGGGTTGGGGTTGGGGTCGGGGTCGGGGTCGGGATCGGGGTCGGGGTTTAATGCAGAGCTATTTGAGAGATTTAGTTGACTGGTATTTCAGCCATACTATCTATACTGACTATACTTCCCCAGTGCATGCACACATCAGAACAAATCTCTTCTTTAGATTTTACACTTAATCCGAATTTTGCACTGCATTCCTTGACTCAACACACACACACATACAAAATAAAAAATACATTTAGAACTGTGTGTGTTCAGGGAGAAACCATTTAGAAATGTGTATTAGCCTTTGCAATTTGCTCAGAAAACATTTGCTATTGGGTAGTTTAAAATAGAATTAATTAGCACAGTGGTCCTATTACCCACCCGACCAAGTCCCAGCTCTGAGGTTGGAAAGGGGTACTGACCCCAGGACTGGAGCTCTGCCCTTGGAGCAGCCTCCTCTGGAAAGATCCATGCACCGTATCTCTTCGGCTGGATGAGCAACCTCAGAGGAAGAGAGCAGGGTGTGTTCCAGGGGACAGGGAGAGGAGGGATCCAGTGCAGCAAAGATGTGGCACAGCCTGGTGGCACCTCAGCCTCCTTTCCTTCACTGCAGAGTTGGGGGGCTGAAATCCAGGGTCCAGATGTTTGCATGGCGGGATGGGTGCCTAGGATGCCCATAATCTTCCACGTTCAGCCCATCGAATTGCACACTCAACAAAACAAGCGACCAAACAAATGCCACAGTTCCTTGCCTTTCTTTTTTAAGCACAAAGATCGGGTTGGTCCACCATGTGGCCCCCAAGGCCTCGTTCTGCACCCCGTTTGCCACTCGGAGTCCCCCAGTACCCCCTCGTCAGGTTCCCAACAATGGCACAGGCATGATTGCAGCCAGCTCAGCCGAGGCTGCTGACCCATCCCTCTCTCAATCTGAGGCTCAGGAAGAGGGAGGGCCGGGCCAGCAGTCTCACCAAAGCTTGCCCCGGCATACAGTGCAGCTCCAGCTGATGCGCATCAGCAGGAGCAGCAAGGCATCCTGGGGAGAGATTGTCAACTCAAGTACAAGAGACTCGGTGCACCAATTCCAAGGAGGAAGAGGGCGCCATGGGAGGGTTTCTGGGCAGGAGAAACAGAGAAAAAAGGGAAGGACCACCTCAGAGGAGCAGTCACTGTGCTTGGGCTGTGGCCGGAGGAGGAGCAGCCTGTGGCCTCTGTGTGACCCAACCTCTCGGAGGAAGGCCGACTCTGAGACCTCAGTCATCTGGATTTGCTCCCGCATGTCCTCCTCCCTGTTTTCTGGTGCGCCAACGGTTTTGCTTCTTCGAACTCACAGAGAAAAGCCAACTCTGAGCCCTCATATCCATTTTCTCCCCCCTTCAATGCTAAAATAAATATTTAAACTGTGTATATTAAATTGAATGAATATATTGCAAACCCTTTAATTTACAATATGGAAATACAGTGCATTGTGTGTTCCCTGTCAAAATTCTCATGCAACCCTCAAGGTGCAAAACTTGGACCACCCTGGCATAGATGAATGCAGGAACAAGGTGGAAGAGACTGATGAATGGATGCGGGTGAAATTGGCCTGTATCAGAAATACAGTTTATTGTACCCCCAACTGTCAGCATCCCCGCTAGGGATGTTGTTGTTGTTGTTGTTAGTCGTGAAGTCGTGTCTGACCCATCGTGACCCCCTGAACAACACTCCTCCAGGCCTTCCTGTCCTCCTCTATCCCCTGGAGTCCACTTAAGCTCACACCCACTGCTTCAGTGACTCCATCCAGCCACCTCATCCTTTGCCATCCCCGTCTTCTTTTGCTGTCAATTGTTCCCAGCATCAGGCTCTTCTCCAGGGAGTCCTTCCTTCTCATTAGGTGGCAAAAGTATTTGAGCTTCATCTTCAGTATCTGGCCTTCTGAAGAGCAGTCAGGGTTGGTCTCCTCTAGGGCCAACTGGTTTGATCGCCTTGCGGTCCAAGGGACTCGCAGGAGTCTTCACAGAAACAGAGCGAGTCAGAAGAGGTCTCCTGGACCATCTAGTCTGGTCCCCAGTTCCAGCCAGCTCCACTCATGGCATGCCTACCATATGTGAGGATTTTGGTTTTGCTCACAAAAAAAATGAGTATATCATATTCTAGACCCTGAATCAAGCATGTGCACAGGAATACACCCACAAAAATATTTGCATGTAATTGCTAGATATGTGCTTGAATTCAGTTTGCACTATTTTCCAGATTCAAGTTTGCACAGATTCCCTATAGACTGAATCAACCGTAATTTAAGGCATTCAAGAGGTGGCTGGAGAGCCATCTGTCAGGGATGCTTTAACCTGGAGTCCTGTGTTGAGCATCAGGTTGGACTTGATGGCCTTTTAGGGCCTTCCAACTCTACCTGTCAATGATTCTATGATTCTAATCTATATTCATGCAAATTAGGGGGGGTTGCAAATTCAGGAAAATTTGACCAAAGCTCATGTTTGAGTGATGCTTGAAGTGTGCAGTTTTCTTGTTTGTGCTGAGCAAAGAGCGATCGTAAAAACAAACATTAACCAGAGATAGGATGAGTGGCAAGAAGAATTTTTGAGAATCCTACTTATCTCAGACATTAAAGAGCAGTAAGTGTGCCATGGAAATATCCAGTGATGTAAAGATTTGCATGATCCCCAAAGAGCGTACATTTAATGTCTTCAGTCTGTTAAGAAATAGCCATAGGCCAATCTAGCAAAGTAAATGAATGAAGTCATTCTCCTGTGAGGAAAGATCTTGTGTATGATTAACAAACTCATTTTCTTCATAAGGATCCGTCTGTATGCAGAGTGGCACCTTCCACAGCTTGCAGGCACTGTTTTGATAACAGCATTATATGCCTGACAGCATGAGCTGAATGAAAGAGGACTAAAAATATGCTTTAATATGGAATCCTGCGTTGAGCAGGGGGTCGGATCCAATGGCCTTATTAGCCCCTTCCAACTCTACTCTTCTGTGATTTTATGATGTCACCATTATCAAAGAATCATTCAGACCGATCTCCAGTCATCCGTGTTTGCATGATGGACCTCTGCAAATCGCTCATGAAAATATCCATGATTGGAAATCGCACGCAATTCTAGTTAAGTGAGAGGAGAGAGGAAATTATGCTTACAGGCCCCTTCCACTTTGTCACCTCCCATGTCCCCTGGCCAAATTTTCCTTCATCTGTTGTGGAATGGTGAGTCCAGGTAGCTGGGATGGGACACAAAGCTTCGAATCAGTGAGCCTCCTCCCCCACCCCACTCATGGACTGGGAATCACACAATGGGGTGATGTCTTCCATCTATTCCTATCAGATTCTTTGTTTTTGCTGGACCTGCAATGCCTACACCCTCCTCATTCTCTCTCTCTCTCTCTCTCTCTCTCTCTCTCTCTCTCTCTCTCTCTCTCTCATTCTCCTGCTACAGAAAATCATGCACACAAGAAAACGTCACCAAGACATGTTCCAGGACTTGAACCGGAAGCTGCAGCATGCAGAGAAAGAGAAGGAATCCCCAACAACAGACCCCAAGGTGAGTCCTGAGACACCAAGCAGAAAACCCCATCATGGGGGACTGGCCATGGCAAAGGAAGGGCAAGAGAAATCCCAAAGCCTTTGACTGGGCATTTGTGGGCAGCATTCAACTGAGTTTGATGCAAAGACATGGCATTCATGTGGGGGTTCGTACACGTGGACAAACTCTTCCCACTAGGCTGAGCGTTCTGGAGCAGAGTATGACATGGCAAATTTCTGAAGACATAGAGGATCTAGCTCTTTGCAATGATATCTGGTTAGAAGTCAAGTGAAAGCAGGTGACGAGATGCCCTGCTTGGCCATCGCCTTCAAATTTGGCCCTGCATTTGGCCAAAAAGGTCTATCTGAGGAACATCCCACCTGCTCTTCAGAAAAAGTCACAATATGCTCAGTGGAAAGGAAGCAATGGGATTTCTGCCCCACTGCTAACAATTAGCAGACTCTCACCAAGATCTCAGGCAGAAAGCTCTTTTTGAACTTTGGACATCCCAAGGACTGAAATTTAAGCTGATCTTAAATACGCACAATACATATGGCGTTTCTAGAAATGTAAATTCTGTAGCTCTCTAGCAGGATGGAGGAGAATTTTGTTTTGCATTCCCATGCATATTTACTGAATTCCTCACCTTGGAATCCACAGATGAACCAAGACTCAGAAATCCTAAGAAATCCACACTTCTTGGAATATGGCAGTAGAGTAAAAAATGCACATGCATATCTGTTTATTAGAGAAATATACATGCACAAATATGTAAATTGGGGATATGACTGTCACAGAAGCATTATAAATATGGCTTGCAAAATGATGCACAATAGAAAAAATTGTATGTATTTTCACGTGGATATTTTAAAAAGTGATTGTGATCCACTAAAGTCGATTGAAACAATTCTTAATGATTGGGATAGACTGAAATTAAAGCTGGAAAAGAAGGAGAAACTGAGAAATACCAAACTGGACATATCTGGCCATCCCTTCTCAAGAGCAGCACAGGCAACAGCATTTTGCCAGCAGTGGCATTCATGGCCACAGGGCTTCGGTGAGAGAATTTCCCCTTCCTTGGGAAAGCCGTAGAGCCAATTACAAGTCTCAGGTATTACTGAGGCCTTGGATCCAACTGGCCTGTGGCATCACAGCATCTCCCACTTCTCACCTGGTTGCACTTCGGCCTGGATCCTTTGTGCCTGGGCTGCACAACTCACAGCTGATGCTGTGTGCTAGGCATGTGCCATCTCCCCCTATAACCCGGAATCCCACAGTGCTTCCAGTTGCGGCAGTCCTCAGCCATCCAGCATGGATGTGGATTGAGCAGACTACGCCGAAGTTGCCCGCGTCCTTCTTTCCCCAAGAGCAGCGTCCATCATAGAGCTTCTAAAGCTGAAGTTAGGTGCCCAGAGGTTCTACGAGGGAGTAAATGCAGCCAGGTGGGGCCATGCTGCCTTCACAAGAGACAATGGTCTGCTGTGAGGAATGGGCCGCGGACTGGATTATGATGAATATTCTCTCTCCTGCTGCCCTTCTTGTCTGGTTGCCACCACGGCAAGTATCCCGATGATCTTAGATGGCCAACATGACATATGTGTTGCACATGTAGATCAAGAAGCAATGACAGTTTGTGCTACCCCTCAACAGTGGTAGGAAGGCTGATGGAGCCAGTCATGGCATAGAACGGGGATGCGAGCCTCTGACCCACAAGGGCAAGGACAGGTGGAGGGCCAGGTGAGCATCACTCATCCCCCACATTCTAGCCCCCCGGCCCTGCCATAGACTCAGGTATTCCTTGCCACCTGCCTCCTAGCTCAGCAAATTGAAGCAAAGGGATCCCCCTCCCGAAACCAAGGGAGTCGGCACATTGCAAAGATGTGGGATCTTGAGCATCACTATTGCATAACTAGAACGGGCCTTAGGGCACATGGGGCACAATAGCTGGCCATGGTTAAGGTGAACAGGAGGAAAGAGCTGGGAAAGTCTTTCTAGGGAAGCATGCTGGTCATCTTTCCAGGACCACTGTCCTGTGTGCTGGATGTATTGCGTGTCACTCTCTGATTTCAGCTTACAATTGCTAGGAATGGCAGCCACTGCGATTTCCCCTAAAAGGGGCACAACAGCAAAGACACTTTGCCCGCAGCGGGAAACGAAGGAGGCCAAGAATGCAAGACCAAATGCCAGCTCCTACAATGTCCTCTTCAGCCGTGACCCACCCCCACCAAAACGGTTCGGGGAAGCTCTGTTGAGCGTTTGCCCCCAGCGCCTCGCTATTTCGCGCTGCCCTTGGGCGTGCCAGCTGTGGTCAGCTTCTCACTTTGTGCCAACCCGCCTCCGTTGCTCAAAGGGGGAAAAACACCCTGTTCTTTCTTGTATGTTTAGGGTCTAAAACGATGGAGCGTTTCTTCTGGTGGAAGTGATAAAACTAATGCTAGCGTAAGTCTTACTGCCTGTGTTTCCTTCGAGAACTTCATAGCCCCCCTGCCTCCAAACCGTGCCATGATGCATGCCTCCAGATGCATTCTCTCACCAGTACACACACCTAGCCCTGGATGCCACAGAACAAGGACCCACTGAATGCTCCCCTTCCCCTTCCCTTCCCCTGATTTCACATAGCAAAGGGAACTCTGACGAGTCTCCCAACCCATCCACCTGCATTGTAAAGGCCTTGATGACATCCCCTAATTTGCAGCCCCCCACCCATGCCTTGCTGATATCCAAAGATGGCAGCTTTTCCTATCTTTGCAGAGCATGTTTTACTGTTATGAAACTCCTCCCCAAACCTGCTGCCATGTGACCAACTTGGACCAGGTGAATACGAGCATGAAATGCTTTGAAACCCATTCACAGTTAATGCTTGATTCCCAAGAGTATCCTTTGGCACCGTTCTCCTGGGTTTTTCTTTGTCTCTTTCTACTCCGTCTTCTTCTAAGATGTGGGCAACATATGCTGTGTTCATGGGCCTGGCTTGTCTTCTCTTAGACAGAATCCCTGTTGGATTAGGCACTTTCTGGAGTGCACCTTCCCTTGGACAGCCAGAGCATTTGGACTTGGTTTGGTTTAGCGGCATTACTTGCCGAAGTGCTGATTTCTCCCTACAATCAGGGGAAATTGGGTGCTTCTATTTCCAGGCTACCACTCAACCACTGCTTTACAGGTTGGTTTAAATACTGGACTTGGCTTAAAAAGTGACAAAAATGGAGTGTATGAATGAGAACAATGGCAATCAGACCTGAAAAGGACACCAACTGCCAAACTGACTAGCAAAAATGGTCACTACCTGCTCCCTGGAAGCAGCCTAAAGAAGACGTGGTTTCACCCCTCAGGGAAAGATGCAAGGTTCAGATGTCCTCTCTGGTCTCAGAGTGGGAATTCCATAAGTCTTCTGGATCCTTCCATGATCAGAGCCAAGAGACACATTCATTATGATGTGGTTGTGTGTGTGTGACTGTGTTTTATTGCCTTAGGTCTCAATCTAGGATGGGAGTGACAAGGGAGTGTGTGGCTGCCACCTTTGGGGTGGTGATGAGCAGGGGAAGATATGGCGTTGGGGGGCTAACATGTCAGCATAGAAGAAGGAGGGACCGATTTTGATATCCATCCTCCTTCTGGTTATTCCCCCAACTAGAAGGTTCTTGGCTGTAATATCAACCGGCCCCTGGGCCTGACGGTGCAACTATTGACAGTGCTGCTGCTATTTATCGGTCTATAATAAAGAGTCTCTCATCCATGACTTAATTGTGGATGAGGGGGCCGGTATTACGGAGACCTGGGCAGGAGAAGGGGGAGACTCAGGGAAAGCTTGCAGAAGATTTGTGGAGGGACTTCCACCTGAGTTTTAGCCTAGATGGGTGCAGCTCAGTTTAGAGGGAAGTTTAGGGACTGTGCAAGCTGGCTAGAGAGGAAATTGTGGTTGGTTGGTGGGATATGACCTGATGAAAAACTTCCTGAAACATGGCTGGAAGAGTAGGGGATGCAAAAGGACAATTTGCATGAAGGACAAATCGTCAGTCAGTTCATATATCTGGTAACTTTTCTACCCTGGTCATGAGAAGATTCTAGCTACAGGACTCATTTCCAAACAAGTCGGAAGAAGCCTTCCATCAAAGGGGACATTGGAAGAGTTTGTTCTCCTGGTCGAGGGGAGGGGATGCCACCAGGACACTTCTGCTTCCATTGACATAGAATACAGGCAGCACCTGTGTACACGCACGCTCAGTGCGTTCTGGGTTCTCCAAACCTGTCTTCCCAGTAGCAGACACTTTTTATGAAAAATCCCTTTCTGAATTGTGCTTGCCAATACTCTACAGTGGGTTTTAGTTGAGAGAATGAGGTGGTAATTCCGACAAGCTTTAGAAGAACAACAACAAAACCTCTTGAGTTTCTGTGCATGCTGTATTGGTGGCTTCTAGACAATTGTCAGCTTACAAAAAGAACTGGGTGGTATCACTACGTGAAGGAGACTTGATACACCATTGCAGGCAGTTGAATGGGTGCAAGCAGGGAAAGAGGCAAAACAGAGGCCCAAATGAAACTCTTTTTTTTCAAACCGTAGATAGCACATGCTAGAGGGTAGACCAGTGCCAAAGGGCCATCAGTTCTTATGCAATTATTCTAATCTTTTTTATGATCTCTTTTTTCTTTTGAATCAGACAACAAAACTCTACATTTCTAATGCATCTTTAAAGCGCTCACCCAAATGAACACTTTTCCCCATATGCTGAAACATGGACATGCATGTATAGTATTTCGTTATAATGCAAGCTTTGTAAAAATGCATTGTTTTAATGTGAATGCAAGTTTGGGATCATGCATTCACCTTTGTGTTTGGACACAAGAATGAAGCCAAAATCAAAGCAAACCAATATCTGTGTATATCACTAATCTGCCTATGGCAGAAATATTTGTTTGTTTGTCCGTTTGTTTATTATTTATTAAAAGCTTTTGTATGCCATCCTGTTATACAAGATCTCAGGACGGCTTACAATATTTAAAAGGACAATTAAAACAACAATTTCAATAATAAAACAGAACAAAACAATAAACCAAACGGAGTGACTAAACTTAAAAACAATTAGAGTTTAAAATACTGTTTAAATAAAAAGGTTTTGGCCTGGCACCAAAAAGAGTATAAAATATACGGGTATTCCTGTTCTTTTGAGTCAGTTTATATGGGAAGGGGGAAAATGGGGCATTTTCTTTCTTTTTAAATGCATCCGTATAGTTGTATCATCTTCAAAAGGGTATTTTCTACCTTAAGCAGGTGCCTACCTCCTGAGTTTTTCGTAAATTGTTGTATCAAAAATAATTAATTTTGAAAGGAAACTGGCTCCCAATTTTCCCAGCACCATTTTAATTGATCACAAAGTTTTGTGAGTGATGAAGGTAACCAATTAAGCAGCTAAACCTTGCAACCCTACTTCTAATGAATGTCCCCTATTTTCTTTCTTCCTTCGCTATCTAACTTTCTCTTATCACTTCTTTCTCTACAGCAAGAAAAACAGCAGACACCAAACAAGAGACCCTGGGAAGGGATCCGGAAGGTCCACTCGCCACCAGCATGGGTCAAAAAGGACATGGAGACAGTTGTTCAGTCTCCTTTGGAACTCAAAACTGTGGAGTGGGAAAAGGCTGGTGCGACAATTCCCCTGGTCGGACAAGACATTATCGACCTCCAGACGGAGGTTTGAGGAGGGAAAGAGAAGAGAAAAGAGACTCTCAGGGTGTCTTTCCCCCTCCAGAAAATACAAAACAAAAGCAAAATACAAACAGATAAGATTTTTTTAAAGAAAAAGAACCCATCCAATGGAATCGAAATGGAGAGAGCGAAGCCCATTGGTTTCTTTTTGAAACCCTTCAGTGACAAGGAGGAAACACTGGTGTAACCTGTGAATTGTTCTCTGCAGACAGGGTGTGGGGGAAGTATTACTTTGTAGAACATAGTAGCAGTAGGTGCAGAATGAAATACGGTCTTTCCCAGGTATGGAAAGGTAGCTGGGTGGGGGGAATGAAGCAGGCCAAGGGACAGGAAAGGACATGGGAGAAGGAAAGGATCGGAGATTTTAAGGTACGAAGTCAGCCTCGGGCCCTTGGTGGCCAAATGTTGAATTGAGCATTTTACAGCCAATGTCCACGCTGCGACAACGGATGTCGAGAATGAGGGAGGTGCCATTCAGAAAGAACGATTCGATGGGAAACATGGCAAAGGGTGCATGGCTGCTGGACATTGCCTGCTCCCGCTTGGCTGCTGGATAAGGTGGTGGAAGGAAGCAACTCTCCTCATCTCCCTTCTGCCCCTTTGCTACCACTTGGGAGGAGTCGGAAACTCAACCAAGAGGCCTCCTCGTCAAGCTGGCTTCAGTGGATTTTGAGTTGATGCGATGGAGAGGGAAGGAAGAGAAAGTCCTCGGGAGAGACTCCAGAATTTCTTCCTCCATAGTGGATTTTCTGAACTCTTCAGCAAGAACAGGAGCAAAAGTGTGATGTACGGACAGGCTCCTCTTGAGGCCACAGCAATTCACTCAGCCTGTCTCCAGACAGAAAGACCTTGACTGGGTAGGGGAGGGTTTTTAAAGCAAACAAATGAACAAAAAAAGAAAAAAAGAAAAAAAGAATGTAGGTCATTATATTGACTGTTAGTAGATCATAGACAAGCTCATTCTGGGCCTTTGTACAAAAGGCTCGTGCGGCCTCATTTTTTCCTTTATTTTCAGAAGACTTGACAATATATTTCCCCTGCCCACTCTCTCAAAGTGGACAATCCCCAGTTAACAGACCTGGAGAAGTTGAGGACACGGAGAACATTGCCTTAGGACTCTGAGACAAACTGAAACAAAACAAAACAAATCGATGAGTAACATCTACTTGGGAAAAAAATCTATTTTTTTCTTCTTTTTCTTTTCTTCAATAAAAAGAGAACTTGAAACCCAAGGACTTTCCTTTCTTTGACTTGTGTCATTCCAAACATCTTTCCATGTGTTGGTTCCATGCAAACTGGGCAAGAATGCCAGGCGTTTCTTCCAGCTTTGTCCCCAAGGAAATATGGGGAAGCAACTCACTTGCAGGTCATTGTCGTGCACTGGGTTGGAATATTTATTGTGTTGAGGAATTACCCAATACCTTATGCTCCTTTCACTTGACCCTGGGTAAAAATCTGATCCCACAGACGTTGAAATCAGAACTGCCATGTTTCAAACAGGGTCAATTTTATGATTTTATAAGAACTGAGCAGAGATCAATGCCATCACGTCCCCCCCTGCCAAGATAGCTTGACATTCTTCTACAGGAGGGAAGGACAAATGTAAGAGATGATCAAGACTTTTTGAAGTTTTCCAGAAAAAAGTTCATGGAATTACTTTTTTCCCTAAGAGAAATAGGGAATCATAAACTTTCCAGAAACATTTCCTGTCATTTGTTTTAACCATTAAATGGTCAGCAATATCTAAGCAAGGGAAAAATCAGGGTTTTTTATAGAGAGAAATCAGCAATTTTTAGTAAAAATGAGAGTGCAGGATCTTTTCCCCTCACACACAACTACAAATTATCTCTCCATGTCTATATCTTTATATACAAATTTCTTGTCATTTTCCCACCCTTTGCCTTGTTCAATCATTTTTTCTCAATATGGAGGTCTGATAGTTATTTTGTTGTTCTTTTTGTCTGAAAACCACTGCTGTCTTTTGTCAATGGAAAATATTTGGGGAGGGTAATTCCAAATGTCATTTTTGGAAAATATATGTGTGTGTGCATATGGATCCAAGTGGGGAGATAGGTAATCTGTCATTGATAGAATGCATGTTATACCAATGTGAGTTGGGTTTTTTATACACAGGGTGATCCCTGCCTACAGATTCTGTACATTTTCTTCAGTGGGGAATGCAGCTCAGGAATCAGTCCAAATCAAAGCTAAATTTGCCCCATCCATTACAGGCAATAGGGCAAATTTCAAGTAAAGGAGTTGGAATCCCATGGGTGGTTCTTGACTAAAATTAGTGGTTCTCCTTAAGCTTGGTGGAATTGGATATTAGCCATCCGGAATAAGTGCTGCAAAATCCGTACTGAATTGAATGGCATATGTGTGGGAACTGCAGGTGTGTTCTTCTGCATTTCTCAATCAACGGTGTGTTACTTTCAAGGTTTTTTTCCAGCACCCAAGATCTGTTGGAAACAGAAGGAAATCTCGAATTTTCAATAATGGAATATGTGTTTATATTTGTTCTCATGACACAAAAGTATATTATGAAAATCATGCAGGTTCTAGAAACAGCTCTAAAAATCGGGACTCCTAAACCTATAGAGTCTTACCATTAGCACAAGGCATGTTGGCATTCTAATAGAAGTTGGATGTGTATCCAGTTCCCGTCTGACTCATATCTGTCATGGGCTGGGTCTTCAGTGCTTAAGTTGCCCTTTCATTTGTTTGCATTATACATGAACTTGACTTGCAGACCAATGTAGAAATTGCAATCAGCAGAACCCATCCAACAATGTCTGTGAGAAGTCCTCCCAGTGTACCCTACTTCTAGAGAGTTCCATCATAGTCTCCTCATTTGCTCCAGAAACATGGGGAGATTTTGCAAAAAGACACCTCTGCAGATATACTTCATTTGAGGTACTTGGGTGGATGCTAAAATCTGCCCAAACCTCCACTCAGGAAAATACAAGACCTCTCTGTAGAATGTTTGTGTCCTGGATATCGGTGACTCTGTATCTGGGTTGTGCAGCAAACGGCAGGTCCTTGAGCCCCAGAGAAGTGGTGGAGAGAGGGGGTTTGTTAAGCAACATCTGGGGAAGACTGTAACCCAATTCTTGTATGGCCACAAAGCTCCCTGGCTGACCATTGGCTCGTCACTGGCTCAGTGTTACCTACCTCACAAGGTTCCTGCTAAGATGTCATGGAAGACAATCCCAAGAATTCTCCACTGAGTTCCTTGGAAGAAAGACAGGATAGCAAGAGCAATGAAGGAAGGAAGGAAGGAAGGAAGGAAGGAAGGAAGGAAGGAAGGAAGGAAGGGATTGTGTACAATATTATGATGTTAGAGACACTGTACTTGCTTGCTCAAGGGAAGGCAGAGCAGGTAATTAGTAGAGCCCACTGAGGATCCATGGTGATCCTTAGATAGAAGTGGCATGTTTAGGTTTTATACTGCTGTGCTTTACCAAAACAAGCAGAAGAAATGACTAGCGGTTCCCTTGAGTCAAAAGGTTTAAAATGAATTCACTGTAAGTGTGTAAATGCGACAGTTTTTAGACTGAGCCATATAGCAGCTAAGGGGAAATACTCATAATCATTCTGGTGTGGACTCAGAAGGCAAAGGTAGTTCCCATCAGCATCAGCACCACAATAGCCGTTCCCTGAACTATTGTTGCTATCATACTGTAGAAAGTCTTTGAATCACTGGTGGTACAATCCTAGATGCACTTATTTGGGAGCCCCAGTGAATTCAGTGGATGTGTTTCGACACACAGGTGCATTGCATTGCATTGCAAGCAGACCAGGTAGATTCTTCATGCGGTGCTCCAACGTCTGGCTGTTGAGGTAGCGTTGGCATTTGGCTAAAACTAAAGCTCAATCCATGCTCCCGGGTTATCCCTTCTTAGGCAAGATCTCTGAGGAATTTGGAGGGCAGGAAAACCCTGCAGGAAATTAAATAGTAGAAAAGAGTAAGTATTTCTCAACTGACTGCAGAGGTTTCTACAAATCCCTAGATTTAACATGCATTTAGGGGTTCCTCTTCTGATAAAATAATCTAGTGATTCCATGGAAGCTAAAAGAGATTGTGTAAGATTAGCGCGTTCTAACACAGCCAGCTGCCCTCTCTGGCAGTTGGTCTACCACTCCCATCCTCCCCAGTATGCTCTCAGGGGTTGGTGGGAATTCTAGTCCAATATATCCAGAAGGTACCAGGTTCTCGAAGGCTGAAATAGCAGAATTTACACTGGGCTGGTAAGACCAACATGGTCAGGAATGGGGCCAGCCCTACTATTAGGTGGAGGGGAGCTGCCTTAGAAGGGGATGCTGGATGGGGCAAGTGGTGGAGAGGTGCTGGAGCGATGTGGGTCAACCCGTCTGCCCTGTCCTAGCCGGCTCTCTTCAGATCAGTGGTGGGTGCAGCCCAGCTGCTGGTGCAGAAGTCAGATTTAATGACTAGTCTGGTTTGCTTCTGCACCTGGAAAGGGCCGCTGTCTCCTTTGCCTAAGGCAGAAGATACCTTGAGGTGGCCCTGGCCGCTAGAAGAGACCTCTGTGCACACTGCACTGAGCTGGCATGGAACTGAGTCAAAGAGATGAGCCAGAGGGCATCTTTGTCCCATGGGAAGGTAACCCTGAGGGCACTTTTTCCAGAACTGGGACATGTCAGGCAAATGGTGTCTTCTGGGGCATGCACAGTCAAGAGATGGCTGAGAGGAAACAGAGCCTCTCCGTCAAGCATTTTTCAACCAGCCTCTCTTCAATTCGTCCCCAAGCAGCTCAGAGACATATCGATAAGATGGTTCTTCTTGTTGTCTTTTTAGAAAGCCGTATTCAGTATTTTGCTTTAAAGAACTCAGATCTCTTGGTCTTTCTGTGGCGTATGGTGGAGATCCTTGGTCAGGTCTTCAAGCTTTTGGAAAAATGCTCCCAATGAAAGGAGGTGAAAAGAGCTGGTGCAAAAAGGGTCAGCAGCAAATCCTTGTTCCTCCACTTTGTCAGTGTTTTACCATCACTCTAGGAAGGGAGAGAAATGTGTTCAGTTCTCATTTGAGTGTAAAATTACCTAATTCCACCATTTTGAACTGCTATGTGAAGAGAAGCCCCGTTCTCTTTTGAAATTCACATTTCTCTGCGAAAGAACTCATTCTCTGATGTACAAACATGCAGGCAAAAATGGCATGTGTCTGGATTTTCATACCAATTTTAAAATAGATTGTTCTACTGTTTGGGATGAACTGAAGTGAAGTCTGGAGAAATTCTCAAAGGTTGAGATGAGCCAGACTGACAGTTGCAAGAATGAGAAACTAGAAGTGATTCTTTTGTCCATCTCTAAATCACTGTAGTTTATCAGGAGAATCGACCCCATCCTATCTCCATTCCAGCCCTGGCATAGCAGTATCAATGATGCTTTGGGAAATTTTTCAGAAGAGAATCCAGTCTTATGTGGTCCTTTGCACAATACCCACGAAGATAACAGAGAATGATGCTTATG